AGAGGGGAAAGAAGGAAGGGAGAGGGGAAAGAAGGAAGGAAGAAAGGAAGGAAGAGGAGAGGGGAAAGAAGGAAGGAAGGAAGAAAGGAAGGAAGAGGAGAGGGGAAAGAAGGAAGGAAGAGGAGAAGGAAGGAAGGAAAAAAGAGAAAAAGAAGGAGAGAAGAAAGGTTGTTTCTTGATCCCGCCTCTATGTCGGAGATAGCGCTGGGGTGGCGGGGCGGCCAAAAGCTGCTTTCTTTCTTTTTGCCTCACCAGCCATAAACCTCACCGGACATCACTGCACAGGAGGTAAGGATGCATGCCCGCGTTCATGTGGTGGATGCCGAGCCCTGTATCCCTGTACTGGTTGCAACGGTATCTGGAACCCACCACTGATGCAAAGTCAGGGCGATTCGTACAAAAATCTACGTTAATGTTTGTTCTTTAATAAGTTCCCACTTATACCACTACTCAGAGTAGGAGGCAAAACCAGAATGGCGAAAGACAGCCCTTCATTTGTAGAAGATTATTTAACGAACTTTCGTTTCATAGCGTCAAATGCAAGGTTATGTGGGTGGCAATTCTACGATAACCGCTCTTGGGATGCATTTAAATGTTTTGTTTTAAACTGCAGCCCCCCAAAACTTCTTTACATTTTCTGATAAAGCTATTAAAGTGCCAGGAGCTGTTAAGTGTCACAGCTTGGTTAAGTACTAAACCAGCATGCCATAAGCAGATAAAGCAAATGCAATTATCAACACAAAGACCAGCCACGTTATTAAATCAGTGGCCTTTTCAACCATGTTCTCCCAATGATTTGACTGTTTTCTTGATAATTAGGTTTTATTAGCAATTTGCAATTCTCATTAAGTTTATGGCTGCTGCAGATAGCACTAGAGTATAATAATGTTAATTTTTCCACAATAAATATAACCTCCTTTTAATATATATAATAAGATCAACTTTCTCCATCTAGTGCAGTCAAGTGTGTTAGATAATGGCTCCCTTCATTTACTCTGACTGGCTGGGAGTGATGAGAATTGTAGTCCTCCATGCCTGAAAACTCCCAGAATGGGGAAGGGGTCTCTGGATTAGTGAAATAGCATTGATGTTCTGGAAGGCCAAAATTGGGGGTGGAATTAAATGTTACCCTCT